TTGTAAGAGGTGGCTTAATGATGAAGTGTATGAAACATTTGTCTAGAGAAAGCAGTTTCTACCTGAGCTCTCACTTCACCTCATTTTGGATTCCTTTAGCAAAAAGATTTATTGTCTCACTGTCTCCCGGTACCATAAAACACACACGCACACACACATCCCTCATGAGAGGCTCACTGGTAGACTAAAATATGGACCATTTGCCTCAAATGAATTCTCTTACACTTGGGCAATTTATCTTTTTCTATAACAAAATGTGATTTAAATCTTTTCTGTAAAGCTTTCCTAGACAAAGCTTTGTCGACTGATTTTTCTCCAGCACTCCCCATGTGTAAATCTCATGTATGGATCTCTCCATGTTTTCCTCATGGGCCTCTAAATAGACTACTTATTTTTTATACAGTATGGATAGTATATACAATAATGATGTGTATGTAGATAGTACATAGTATTATTATTTGTGTATTAAATTCTTCAAGGAATTGTTCCTCTGCACTGCTCTTCCTTTAGTGTTGCTTTGAACTTATCACTTCAGAAAGCTTCCCTGTCTACTCTTTACCTCCCATAGCATCTTTCTTAGAACTTAGCTCAGGTGTAATTTTACGTATATTACTGGGATCTATTAGTCAAGTAATTTGAGCAGACAGTTCAGGCATATATACTACTTGACTAACAGTTGGGTTAGGTGGCAAACAAACGAGTTTCTATATTAGCTATATATGAAAAGACTGAGATTTATGAATATTTTTGGAATTTAGTTGTGTGGAACTATAAAGAGTACCCATGGCAAGAAGAATCCACAGTGGACATTAAAAATATACACTTGATTTTGGTTACTTAGTTACCCTGGCTGTGTACTGAAGGGTATCTGTGGGAATTTTGGAAAACAGAAGAAAATTATGTAATAGAATAAACTTTGAATCACATTTTTACATTTCAAAAAGAAGAGTGACATCCAAAATGATTTCTCTGGATTTTATTCTCATTTTTAGAGTTTAAAATACTTAAAGGAAATTGATTACTTAAGAAGATCTGTATATTGAGATTGGCAGGATAATTTATGGTCTGATTAGAATTGGGCTCAGAAGAGATTGTGAGCCTTGCATATTGGATGATTTTTATTTCCTTAATTTCCACTTCAGTGCTATACATCTTTCCTGGAGCATTTTAACTATGAATCATGGAGGAAAATTAAATTGATTCTGTATTCTCCAACCCTACAATTTGGCAGTGAGAATATTTTTTTCCTAAAAATGACTCATTTACAAAGAGACTTTCTGTGAACATGGAAAAGACTTTACTGTCAGAAGTCTTGCACATGGGGGCAGGGTGGATATTTAGATCTGCTAATAATTGCAAAATGGCAAAATTAATGTCAGACAGTATTGATCAAAGATCATGTGAAAATGGTACTCCCACTGGAAAACATAGAAGCTTGTGTATTAAGAAAAATAAAAACTCCTTAAGCTCTATGGAAAGCTTATCATTTTTCCTGTTTCAGGGCATTTTTTCCTTGTTTAAGTGTACCCTGCTATGAGTCAACCAGTGTTTAGTTTTTGCACCTCTTGGAAATTGTTCTGTGTTGTAATATTCCTCCCTATTAACCTTTATTTTCCTGATTTTTAGTCCAAAATTTATTTTTCTGAATTTCATCCAATTTCTTCTGGTGATTTTCCCTGGGATCCCCCAGCTTGGGTGTGGGTTGATTTTTCTTGCTAATCGTGCTTCCTCTAGCTTTTAAAATAATCTTAGAATTTCTTTATCCAGCTAAGTTTTCAAGAATGCATCTCATTGTAAGTTAAAAAAAAAAAAAAACAACATATCGACCTGGTTCTCATATTGTGGGAAGCATTTATTATTTCTGTATTGCAGTTCTTCCAAAGATAAAACAAACCTGGCCTTTGTAAAACACACTGAAGCCTTGTTTGCACGTTCACCATCAGATCTATATGAATGTTGAAAAAGGGTTAAATCAAAATGATGACACCTGGATCTGCCATTCCTCGTGTACTAATGGTGCCCATTAAGCCTACAGAATAACATTTTGCAGAAGTGTTCTCATGATTTTGTTCAAAAGTCATTGAATCTGAAGAAGCAGAAAAAAAGAAACTTACATCTGAGTTCCTAGCATTTGCCAGGCATTTTCACCTGTGACTCCATTTGTTTTTTTTTTTTTTTTTCCAGAAGTTGAAGTGGGCACTGTTATCCTGGTTTTTGGTAAGAAACTGAGGCTTAGCTAGGCAAAGTCACTTAGCCAGAATTCCGTAGAAAGTAAAGGGAGGAGAAAAATTCAGCCCAAGGTCTTCCAATTTTAAAATTCATTGTCTTTCCACTTTCTTGAATTGCCTCCCAGGATTTGGGGATTTGATCACTCTGCCTGAGGTCACATTATGAGTCAGAGGTGAGCTGGGAACACAGTTTGGGGCATCTCCACGTTGCTTTAATCTATTGAAATGCGATGTGTCCTCTCTAACAAATGGATCATATTAACTTCTTCGAGGAAGAGAACAGCTTTTGATTTTCTACAAAAGATTCGTTTTGTGAAAAAAGTAATAAAGCAGGTATGACATTTAGCTTAACTTTTGAAAAACTGTGAAAAAGAACAATTCATTACAGTGAACTTTGCAGATGACCAGTCATTTTGGTAAATAGCCAATCTCCATGGTAACTTTCTTTTGAGGAATTATATGAACATTCCTTTTCTTCGGGCACTCCATATTCTAAATAATTTAAAAGTAGCCTCGCAAAATGGGCTTTAAAAAAATCTTGTTAATTATTCTAGAATCATAAGATCTGATCTACCATGAAGCATTTTCTGATAGAGGGTATTCCCACTGGCTCTTTCAACTTACTAGCTATGTATCTTTGGGCACGTTACTTAATCTTCTGTCTTGGTTTCCTCATCTGAAAATAGGGATAATGTAGACCCTACATTAAAGGGTGGTTGTGAGGGTTAAGTGAATTAATAAAGTATTAATTAAGTGAATTAATACTTAGACTGGAACATGACAAATACTGTATAAATTATTGCTATTATTGTTTCTCCCAATTACAACAGCCTATTGTGTATCATGTCGGACTATCCAGAGAGTGCATACAGGGTTTTGAAGGACTTGGAGGCACCCTAAATGGTGGAAGTTATAAGTAATCTAACTCCGTTTGGGCATATGCTAGCAGTGACAGATTTGAAATTTAATTCCAGACCTATCTGATTGCAAAGTGGTTGAAGGAAAGAGATTCAGTGGTAACTGGAGTGGTAGAGAAAAAAGCCTCAACAAACCGTGTAGATTGACTTTCCTCTTTCTTCCGACTGATCTTGAGAACAGGAAGCACAGGGCATTACTAAAAGCTTCAGTTTGCTCCTGGTAGCAGCACGAACATAACCTGGTTCCTTGGGGAAAGAGATTTTTTACACTTAGTGCAGCGTGGATGACTCGAAGGTAAATTCGTCCGAAGTGTGGTTAACAAAAAATTGCCGAATGCTCTGTTCAATACTGGAAATACAGAAATGAATTGGACCAGGTTTCTCATATCAAGGGGCACATAATCCCAGGACACAGAGACAGTGGCTGCCCAGAGACATATGTTGGGTTTGAATACTGCAGATTGTTTTGTATGGAGTATGGGGAGATTCGTTTTGAGACTCATTCACTGACGAAATAAAATGTTAAAGGTTTGGGCACGGACTCAGGAGAAGAATTTGTGTGAGAAATCCTAGAGAAATCCTAGTGTATCCTAGTGATACACTCTGTGAAGAACTGAATGGGGTATGAAGGAAAGGCTCATGGTTGGCGCTAGAAATTATATAGTCTGTCATTTGGAGAGTAACTGGGAACATTTTACAGAATAAGAAATACAAGTGCGTGTAAAAGGATAAAAACAATAATTTAGGAGTGCTGTTGCTGAGACAACCATTATTATTGTTATTGGTATTATTAGAGCTAGTAAAGAATAGTAAAAGGAATATTTAAAAATGGGAGTGGGAAAGCAGGGAGTCATGCTGTCTCTAAAATGACAGCTAGAAATGTGCTGACAAGTGAGTGGGTGCATACAAAAACCAGCCATAAATAGCCACATGGAAATGAAGCTTTTGGATTTAACAATGAAGATGTAATTGAAAACACTAATGAGATCTGTTTTAATACGGCTGACAACAGAAAGCCATATCCAAACAGTAAGATCTGAGAGAGATGGAATCTAAATAAGAGCAATGTATTTGCAGGTGCCAGGTGGACCAAGTCAACTTGACATTGACCCAGAGAAACCTAGACAAATGTTCTGGGCCTGCAAGTTTGTTTGGGAGTTTAATTGCCATATGCTGAATGAAGAATGAATAGTTTGCCTTGTCTGAAGAAGTTGTGCTGTAGTACCAAAGGTCCACTGTCTGGGGGGACATGTAAGAAGCAGTGGAGTTGAAAGGGACCCTCGCCTCAGCAGACAGCTCAGCCTTGGGAGGTGGGGGAGACATGTCACAGCCATGCTCATGGGGTTAACAGCAGCAGCTTTCTAAAATGAGCAATCCAAAAGGCTGTTACAGACTGACCCTGAAGAATAACATTTATCAAGTTCTGATTTATTCCAGAGATTAACTCAAATGACCATTAATTAGGTAGTTTAAAAATGTATTAGTGTAATCCTCTAATCTTACATGTTTTTCTCTTGAGTATGTTGAATATGTTTCTATGTTGAATATGTGCAAAACATTTTTTTTTAGGAGCTTTGAACATTGGCTCTGTATTTGCATCCCAGAGCCTTCCATGTCATTGAAACATATCTGGATATTTTTATTAATCTAGAGATATTTAAGACCTTTTCCCTAAAGACTGAAGGATATTAATTCCACATTCAGCATTTGAAACTTTGTTATTTTTGTTTCTTAAACAGTCACCCAGTGAACTCTTAAGTGTAAGACACTCAAGAAAAGAGTGAATCCTGAAATGGGGGACTGCTCTTTTTGAGTATGTTGAAATACTAATTATTTTGTGTTTACTTTTCTTTAGGGATATCAGGGAATTGCAGGATCACCAGGTGTCCCAGGATCCCCAGGAATACAAGTATGTGATTCATAGGTACACACTGAAGAATTAAACATTTCGAGTGAACCAAAAAACATAATTAACAGAATTTATTCTGTGCTTGGTTTAGGGAGTCCGAGGACTACCAGGTTACAAAGGAGAACCAGGGAGAGATGGTGAAAAGGTAAATGCACGCAAACAAAAATGTGTCCAGTTGCTTTGGTTCATTCAAGAACACCAAGGATGTTACCTATGGTGACTCCCATTCAGTAGTGTTCACCTTGGGGAATCCCAAGATTTGTGGACTTGGACATTGGTCAGTGGTCACTGGCTAATAAAGCCCACAGAAGGGCTTTTATCACTAGATGAAATTGGTTGTCACTGGATGACCACCGTGACATGGAACAGATAATTGACATTGCTATGATGCCGTTTTTCTCTCCCTGCGGTTAAGCTCTGAGGGGGGTTACCTTCTTAGAGGGGCGAGAACTATGTGGATGGAGTCATGTCCTCCGTAATAGATGCCAATCTGGCAGACGGTCTATTGGCTTAGTCTTACTGGACTTCCTCCTTAGGGCTTCAGTGGGTACATTTGTACTGCTGACTCTCCTTTTTTACAGCTCTGAGATTTGGCAAGCTTCCTTTTGAAGTACATGTTCTTTAAGTATGTTCAATATGTCGGTACCTCCCCATGGATCCAGATCGGTCGAGGCCTACTGGCCCTGGTAGCTGGTCCACGTCCAAGATGCCCATTTGTGTTTGCTCAGATCCCGTATTGGTTTGTTAGCTTAAAGCACAATTGTATTTCTAAGGTCTGTGAAGGCATTCTGGTGTTTGCTCCTGATAAAAACCTGTACTAATTTTCTAACTACAATCCTTGCAAAGTATTACCTTTTTAAAGTAGTGTGCACAGCGTTCACATCTGAGAAATTCTGATCCTAACCTGTATCCATTTTATGCTTTTATGGTTGCCCATGTTGGTTGCAGAAAATTGTAGCTACTAAAGTACCATCTCTGGATGGATGGATCTCTGGCAGATCTAATGATGCATCTGTCACTTTCAAGCTATTTGGTCTTGGGCATGTTACTTAATGTCTTTGAGTCTTATATTTTTCATTGGCACAATGGTGATTCCTTCATAGGTTTCTTGTGAAAATTAAATGAGATGATGTGTGAAAAATATTTAGTATCGTTCCTGGTACAGGGTCTTTCTTAAATGGTGGTTGTTTTGTTCTGTTTTGTTCACGTACCATGGCTGCAGTTGGGATGTAGCATGGGGTGGGCTGCCATATGTCATGGGCACAACATGGGTTGAAGCGCCACTGAATTGGAAATTTAGTGATCAGAAAAGAAGCAGAAAAGATGACTAGGTCAGGGCAGCTTTATAATGTGGGAAGAATTAAAGGACATAAAGCAACTGCTGCCGTCGATATAATTCCTGAAGAATAGCATAAACTCCTCTTGCCTACCGCGTGACCTTTATGAGTCTTTTTAGCCGTGGAGAAATCTGCCTATTTTAAATGATGGGGATACATCTTGAGAGGTGATAGGGAGCATGCCGCACCTGCAGGAACGGCAGACGTCTTATATTTTCATGCTGTGGGGTTGTTGAGAGAGATTGCCTGACCTCTGCCAGGTGAACTGGGGAGTTCACTGGGAGCATGAGGTTATCTGTCCTGAGGAGACCATGTGCCAGACACCTCACCTACATTCTAGTCTACAGGATCACTGCTCTTTCCTTTCTTTCCTTCCTTCCCTTTCTTTCTCTTTCAAAGATTTTACTGGAGAGAGAGAGAGAGAGGAGAGCATGAGCAGGGGGAAGAGGGAGAGGGAGGAGCAGGCTCCCCACTGAGCAGGGAGCGCAATGTGGGGCTTGATCCCAGGACCCTGGGATCATGACCTGAGACAAAAGCAGACGCTTAACCAATGGAGCCACCCAGGCACCCCGGATCACTGCTGTTTCTTTAACATTCTGACAATTAGCCTGATTTGAGGATGACAGGGATTTATTAAAAGTATGCATATATGAATGAATGTATCTATCAATGGATGAATGAATAAATTTATCTATTTTTCCCTTTTACTTGGGTTTTAGAGACCAGATATAAAAAGGAGGGTTTTTATTCCTCTTAAAAAGATTTGGAGTAAAGTGTCTATTTGAAAATAAAGGAATAACAACAATTTGATTAGTCACAGCTTTAACTGCACTGTTGTTTGGGGTCATTGTACTCTCTTCACAATAGAAGTGCATGAATTTTATGAAGTCATACATTTTGTTGAATAAAATAAGATGTATGTTTATGTGAAGTTCTCTGTTTTCAGTCCAGTAATAGTTACACTCAGAGTTGCTTGTTTTCTGAAATTTGTTGTTGGGGCACAAAGTCTGACCTGACACAATCACTTTGAGCCCGAAACCACCATGTGCTGTGCCATCTACATTTCCTCCTCACATTCCGTGTGGCTTTAGAGTGTTCCTTACCTAGAGTTGCAATAATTGAATAAGTTACAGACGTTTCCTCGATTCTTCCTCTAGAATATAGTTCCTTAATTTTCAGAGATAGGAAGGTTGAAAAATAGACCCCTGAGGTGACTTTGACTTGGGGCAGCACAGGACATTTTCCCAGGCATCACACAGTGGCTTCTCAGAGATTGTTCCATACAACGCTGTCCTCCATTAGGATCTTTTCCCAGAATCATTTCCATTTTGTGGATTTCTCCTGAAAACTCCCATTGTAGGAGTTTCCACTTAAGATAATTAAAACTACATGCACTTTCTTGCTGACTTCAACATTTGTTCCTACCTATCAGACCATAGAATGTGTATAGATTTTGCAGGGTTTTTTTCTTTTTCCCTCCTTAATTTACAAAATTAAAAAGGAGCACTTATTCACCAAATGGTCTTCAGTTGGTAACTCATTTTATAATATGCTTTAAAGCTATTTGGAATTCAAGAAAAAGTACTTCAAAACACTTCTTCAACTTTAAGGAAACCCGTATATTTAAATCATTGGGGGAAATATATTTTGTTAAAACTTACATTAGGCTGAGTTGATTAACTGGCACATATATATGGGTTTTTGAGTTGATTATGAAACTTTTTTTATAGCAAACTAGATTCCGAACACATGGGAGGTAGTAACTATTTTTTTTTAGACTTTGTACAAATTCATCACTTGGTTTTTCTGGGGTTAGGAAATAAAATATGCTAATTATATCCAAGGTCTCATTATGGAGCAAATTATACATTTTGTTTAATTTCCTCATTAGATCAATTAACATTTAAATTATCACTTCAAGACCTCAGTTTCCCATTGTCCTTAACATTCATTCAAGAGTATGATGTGATGAATAAAGATTTACTTTCATTATTGCACTTCTAAAGTCAAAAGATTAAGTGGTATTACAGTGATTTATATAGTCAGTTATAATTAGGGAACTCCAGTATACATGTTGAGAGAACAGTAATAAAGGACCAAGCTAAAAGGGTTATTAGGGAATATGCTAAAACTTAGGATGTTAGTAGTTTTACTTCTGTAATGTCTGAAGACAAAAAAAAAATTACAAAAAATTAAAGCCAAGAATGATATGGGAGGGAGAAATACTTAGAATTGGCTTAGTAAAGTGACCACGTTTATTTTCTTTCTCAAAAAGGGAGGGTAATCTACCTGTGTAGCTTCCTCATAACACCACAGCCCAAAGGCCCAAACACTGGTGTGTGTGTGTGGCTGGGGTTGGAGGGGGACAAGAAAGGGAGGCTTAATGAAGTTACAGGTTATTGGCTGGGCTTTGAATTCACCGTTTACTTTATCCTCTATCCATTCTCTAAATGTCAGATTGTTCCAGGGCTCAGTCCTGTGCCCTTCTTTTTCATCCTTAACAGAGTCTGTTTATTACATTATTAAATATAAAATTACATGAATATAAATTTATGTGTTACTTATATAAGTATACATATTGGTGATAAGCCTATTAATATACTGAGGGGTGCCTGGGTGGCTCAGTTGGTTAAGCGTCGGGCTCTTGGTTTCGGCTCAGGTCATGATCTCAGGGTCGTGAGATAGAGCCCCGCCTCTAGCCCCTTGTTGGCTTGGCTTCCTCTCAGCACAGAGTCTGCTTGGGATCCTTTCGCTCTGTCTCTCCCTCCACGTATGCTGGCTCGCACATGTGCGCGCACATGCTCTCTCTCTCTCTCGAATAAGTAGAAAAAATACATCTTTAAAAATATTAATATATTGATATAACCAATGTTATAGTTAATAAAAATATTAAATACATACACACGTATATATACATTCTGTTTTCTGATGAAGTATTTTGCTTCATCTGAATCTGAAGAAACTGTGGAATTGTTGTTAAAAGCAGAAATTTTCAGAACTTTTTCTACTTTTTATGGAAGGGGTGGTACCACATTTTCCTTCTTTCCTATATCCTTTTCTCAGAGGCTTTTCTTCCAAAGCAGCACTAATTGTGCCTTCCCTAAATAGTCACTGAAGTCAGGTTTTGTTAAGTGTCCCTTCTGTACATGGGGTGCTAACCTGTGTGTGCTCAGGTGTTGATTACTTCCGTGAATATGTTTATAATGTCTTGATCATTTTCTGATCTTTCAACTTCTTTTCTTTTAAGGCTCTGTAATGGATTCAGTATCTCAGTTTATTGAAAAGAATCATTAATTCCATGTCCCGCCTCATTTGTTGGCTGCTATGCCATTTTCTGTCCTGTTTTCTTTTTCTCTACTGGCATCACTGGGAAACTTAAAACTTTCATTGAATTTTTATAGAGTGCTTCATATTTTGTTGGTTCTAAACTCCTATTTCTCATCCTCATTTTGGGTATACTCTGTCTATGGTCACTAATAAGCTATGGGAGTGACCCTGTTGTGGAAGCTCAGGAATCTACCTTTTTTTCTAGGCCTGACTAGTTCAGCGATGATCCCCAAACCCAAGGGGATTGCCCATGATTGTGTTAAAGATGGGGAACATTTTAGTAGATTTAAACAATTCCCAAGAAATCATTGCCTGAGCCTCAAAAGACTTAACATTTGTTTCTATGTGAGAGGAGAAAGAACCACCAAGATGTGTTAGGTGAATTTAAATTGTAGAATCTTTGTAGTAGAAGACTTTTAGGCATGTAGTTCCATATTTATGTATGAATTATATGCCTATGCTACTGAACAAAGCATTATAT